ATTTTATTTACTGGAAAAATAATTTTGTAACCTCTTTATCAGTAAGAGATTATTTTTATGGGTTTTTATCTTAGCAACAACATAAGCTAACAACCCAATCCATTTCAGTTGTTATATTTCTATAGAATTAAACCAAGAATTTCTAGAAAGCAGCTTAAAGAGCAGAGCCAAATTTTTAGTAATGATCAACAGACAAGAGCATACCTAATATATAGTTCAGAATTATGAATCCTGTTCCTTTAGTTTATCTACCATGAAAATCAAACATTCATCCAAACATTTATTAAGACAATCAAAAGAACAGAACATCCTTTATACAATGAATGATTAATATTCCTGGAAATTTAAACAGCCTTGACTTAGCATTCCATGTCCTGACTGAAACCGTTTTTTACCAGAAGTTGGGCCCGTTTAAACTTTTAGCGCCGGTCCCTCCCTGGGCCTCTGTTCCCTGGCCCACCCGTGAGTCTGTTCCCCTCAAGGCTTTACTTTCCACCAGCTTGTACCTGCCTGTCCGCAGCTCTGGGCCATCTCCCGCGCTGCATACATGCCTCTGTCCACCACACCGGGTGCGCACTCCCGCCTCTGAGCACTCTGGTTTAACTTCCTCTTTCTCCCATGAAGGGACTACTAATAATGAGTTATTCCCACCATAAGGGAAAAACAGAAAACATTTCCCATGAAGGGATCTTTAATATTGAGTTATTCCCATTCTGATGGAAAAATAAAAAAAAATTAAAAAAAAATAAAAAAATAAAAAAAAATTAAAAAAAAAACATTTAAACCAAAGTTAAGCAAACAGACAACAAAATTTTTAACCTCTGTGCTTGCTTGCTTGTTCAGCCAGCCTCAGTGAGGCCCATCCATTGATTCTTTGTAATTCAAATGCTGCCACTCTGTGCTGGCAGGCAGAAAGAGCTCAGAGTTTTAGCTATCCTGAGATTTCTATATTGGAAAGAGCCTTTTCTTTTTCTATTAATACTAGGAAGAGGCTTTTTTCTTTCCTTTATTTTTCTTTTACAGGGCTTTAAAATCTTTAGGCCTAGTTTCAATATTTTTTCCCTTTTTACTGGGAAAATCCTTTTTTTGTTTGTTTGTTTAAAATTTTTTCCCTTTTCTATTGGGAAATTTCCTTTCCTTCTCTCTTCTCTATAGGGAAGATTTTCTTTTTTTATTTTTTTCTTTCCCTTTAATCTGGTATATTAAATCCCCCAGAGACCAGAAACCAAGGACTAACATTTTAGAGGATCTGAATGAAATCTTCAGCAGTCCAATTAACTGTTCCTCTAGGAATGACTGTGAACTACCTGCACCCATGACAATTTATAACAATTCACCCACCCTTACCTTCTCTTTTCTTTAAAATGTTGGCCATCCTTATTTTCAGGTGTCCATCAGCGACGACCCTTCTTTCTCGAATCTCAGTGGAACCTCCACTTGTAGCAGTAATGCCTGGGCTACCACCACCCATTTACCATGTCCGAGTGAGGGGCTGAGGATCAAAGAACAGAGACAAGAACAGCAGGTCATTTGTCTCAGCAGAATTCTGAATGCCATTTATTGAAGAAGGGAGGAAACCTTAAATACAGGCTTACAGGACAGTGGGAGAACCCCAGAGAGCAGAAGTTCGCTACAGATGTTTTACATTCTTGCATACAGCAAATTCAGGATACATAAACAAAGAACTTCTAGTAAGCATTCAGGAGGAAGGAAACTGGCAGGGAATTAGCCTAGGGAGGACATTTGGTCAAAGTCATCAAGCAGGGTAACAGCTACTCAAAAAAACATGGTGGGGCAGAACCCTACAGTTCTCTTTCCTGAACAGAAGCCTCTTGTTTTTGTTTTTTTCTTTAAATGATCACATTTATCTATATTGCTTCTGTTTTGTGTACCTTTGGAGCCATAGACAAAAAAATAACAAACTCTCTCATACTCATATAATGCAGCCTTTTTGTTACATCTTAGGAGATTTGTAGCTTCTGGTCTTATGCTTACATTTTAATCACCTTTGAGTTGGCTTTTTCTACAGAATGAGAGCAGAGGTCAAAGTACAGTTTTCTGCATGTGGACATTTATTTATGGAAGAACTGTCTCTTCTTCAGTGTTTACTTTTGACTCTTTATCAAAAATCAGCTGGCTATAAATGACATTATTTCTTGGATAATTGCATAGCTTTACCCTTGACTCACTGGGTAAAACTGTTTCTTTCTGTCTATATCATGCTTCTTTGTCTACTGTGGCTCTATGGTATGTCTTGATATCAGATATATTGACACTTCCAGTTTTGTTGTGTTACATGTTAATTCAACTTATTGATGTCTTTTTTCTCTACGGTATGAATTCCAATATTATTTTCAATAGCTCTGAAATAACATCACTGGTGTTTTGTTTGAGGTTGTATTGAAAGTATAGCTCACTTTTTCTTTTTCTAGCATTTATTCTTTCATGATCTTTTCCTTTTGTGTGTGTGTGTGTGTGTGTGTGTGTGTGTGTGTGTGTGTGTGTGTGTCTACTTCAATTTCTCTCATCCGTGTTTTACAACTTTAATTAAAGCAGTACTTCATTTCTAAGGTCAAACTTAATTCCAGGCATTTTCTCTATAGCTGTTTTGATTGTGATTGTTTCCACAATTTCTTTCACAGCAAGTTCATCTAATTAAATGTTACTAATATTTATGGTTTGGTTTTACATGCTACAAATTTCCTGAGTTAAGGTATTAGTTTTAATATTGCTTTAATATTGACTTTAGGTTTTTCTGTACATGAAAGCATATAATCTTTAAACAGTGATAATTTGACCCTGTCCCATGCCTCGCCATTTGTATATCTTTTATCTAAATCTAAAATTGGATTGTAGACTAAAACATTATCACAAAGTTGTAAATAACTCAGAAATTCATTCAACAGCTATGTCTAAAACTTTCATAAAGAAAATTGAATGCAACCTATCTGTATTAATAACATTTGGGGAAATTGACAGATATATAATGCTAATTCATGAAAAGGCTATGTTCCTGTATGAAATATTTAGTCCAATAATCTATAAAGTCAATGTAATAATAAACAATCATATGGCATGCATTTTTTATTTTAAAGAATAACAAATTTCTTATGCACATCTAAATAAATCATAGTTATAGAGTAGACAACTTAACAATTGGTTATCTCTGTGTGTCTATATACATATATATTAAAGAAGTATTTTCTATAACATAAGCAAGGAGGATAATATTGCTCAGTGTATTCTATGATAAATATCCAAATTCCTATCTTATATTATATACATAGATACTTTTCAGATTTATAAAGTTCTTTAGGTAAAATAAGTAAATGTTGAAAGAGAATATGTGTATAAAACAAAAGTGAAAATGTGCTCTAAGTAAGTTTTAACCAATGTAAAACACAAAGTAGAAGTTATTAGGTCAGATAATATAAAGTCAAGAATGTTTGTTCTATGAATGAATCTGTATCCAGTACAGTAGATAACTAATGGCTACCTAAATTCAAGAAGTTAATATTTAGAATGAATAGGGAATTTTCAGGAAATTTATCCAATCCATAAGGAGGTATAGTACAGCACACACAAACACACAAACTGAACTTCTAAATTATATGAAGAAACACACAGGTTTGCATGTATTTGCATGTATGTTTTGTAGATGTTCACATACGTTCAGGTTCACATGCAAATGAGTACACATAAGTGTGGAGTTCAGATGACCTCAGGTGTCATTCCTCAGGTACTATAAATGTTTATTTTCTTTTTTGAAGTACACGCTAGCCTGGTACTTGTTATGTAGGCTAGACTAGTTTATCAGTAGGCCTAGGGACCATCCCTGCCATCGCCATCTCTCAGCACTGATATTATGAGTGTGTGCCACTGTGCCTGGCATTTTGATAAGGGTTATGAGGACTGAATTCAGGTCCTTGAGCAAAGCAAGCACTTTGCCAACTGATACATCTCTCCATTCCCCCAAATATACATTTATATTTGAAAACATAGAAACACAAAAGAAATACTATCTTGTGTATGTCTGTATGACAAAATTTTGGAAGCCTACGAATGTTAGCAAAGGTTATCAAGTGTTTCTAACTATGTGCTCCATGTCACTTAGCTATTGCTGCATGGCAAAACTCAGTAGCATGACAGTAAATAGTTTTTCTTATTAGTGCAAAATTTTTAGGAGGCTTACTTTTCTCAGTTGTGTGTGGGGGGACTAAAGTGCTCACAGTCTGAAGGATGGAATTATCTCAGGGCTTCTTTGCTGTAATATTAGCATTATTACTGGCTATGTTTTAGAACACACACACACACGGCCTTGCTCACAATTGGAAGACCTTCCCACACTCAGTGACATTCCGATGCAATGGTACATTTCTGCAAGGTCCTGCTGAACCCGAGTGAGATATTGTTCTGATGCATCTTAGAGTATAAGCTGCATCGTTAGGAAATGAGACTCTCTGATATTAAGGTGTTATTATAAAAAGGTACAACTTGAAAAACAATTTGGATCAAAAAATGAAATAAATTACTCATAAATCCCAAATATCCCAAAACCCCTTACAAGGGTACACAATTCTAAAGATGCTCTGTTATAGGAGATCAAGAGTACATGCACAGGGGTTTTTACTGTAACCATGTGTGTGACAGTGGGGAGTAGAAGGTGACATAGCTATTTGATCCTATAGGAACCAATAAATACAGTGGAATCATATGGTGTAAAATTATAGAGCACTCACCAGCTGATCAGGTAAATGAAAAATATGAGTGTATCTAATAATGCACAAAGAGATACTTTCAAAAGCTAACAGATCCAGAGATAAAAGCTATTTTTGCTGTGTAGAATAATCAAATACAAATGTCTTATGGAATGTGTCTATTCTGAAATTATATAGTTTTATTTGCATAACTCTGTTTAGACTATAGGAAGCTACTTCTGCAGATTGATTGTTATCATATGAAGAGATAAAATGATTGTGATATGACCTGTTCTGTTTCAGTGTCTGTTGAGGAACCCGCTGCTGATATGCTTCTCCCTGTGCAAATCCACAGAGTCCCTCACTTTTAAGGGAGCTTCGAAATTTGTGCCCAAATATTTAGAAAATCAGTTTTTGTTAACACCCTCACTTGCCACTATGCTCACAGGTAGATTTTTCTTTTTACTGTGCAGATTTGAAAATTTCTACGATATGTATATTTAAGTGTGATGTGTATATTTAAGAAGTATGTCATGTAAACAGAAGACACAGGGTGCAGTGTACTTGAATGCTACTTGCTATAACCATAAAAACATTAACATTCTATACTACATCAATATTTTTAATGTTGTTTTTATAGCTCACTATCTTCCAGCCCCCCCTCTAAATACCTGCCCATTTCTTTTCCTCTTCTCTGTAGGAAATGAGTCTTCTCCAGCCACAATGTGTTCTTCCTTTTTGTGCTTTTATACCTTTCTGCTTGTGGGTCTGTACCCAATGTTTTTCTAAAAAAATTCACATCATTTCCTACTGATTATTCTATTTATTTCACCAGAAATTATATTTTTCAGATTCACAATCATTTGAACTTAATACATTGTAAATCTTCTGTACATTCCTTATTCCTTAACTGCCAGAGTCATACAGCTGTTAATATACATGCAATTGTATACTCATTATTATACTAAGAGACATGAAATTAGATTTAACCTTAATTTCTCTAAACAACGTCACAGTGCATAAACCCTTTAGTATCTCTTCATTTGTATTTGTAAATGTTGTTCTACATTTTGACACTAAACAGGAATTGCTATTGTTTACAGTTTAATCTTAAAAGTGTATTGAGAATTTGACTCTTTAAGAGACTTCTCAATAATACTTCTAAAAGGAAGGTTCTAGAATTAACTGAAAAGTGATGAACAAAAAAGTTAATTTTAGGCTGTAAAAAAATCAAGCAGGTTTCCAGGACAGCCAGGGCTACACAGAAAAACCATGTCTCATATAACCAACCAAAGAAGCAAACAAATAAAAAACAAAATGAAACAAAACAAAACAACAATGAGTCAAGCAGGCATGTTATAGAATTTAGTGTAACCTGTGAAAGAATAGTAAAAATAATATTTACATTAATCTTTAATTGTATAGGGGCCAGAAAGTGATAAGAAGAAATGAACACAAAGCATATGGAGAAAAAACAAATGTTCTCAAGTGAAGAAGCCTTGATCATAAGCAGACTATTGAGTAGAATTTCTTTTCTATTCTAGTGTTAGGTTTCCTCAGATGTTTACATACTGAAGTCTCAATGAACAAGACAAAATGTATATTTTGCACTATTACTAAGCTGAAAACCTGTGTCTGGACAGGTCATAGGCCCTAGGTAAGAACCTACTACTAATATTCTGCTAGTTGGATATAGTATTAAATCAATTTCTAGCAATTTATTATTATTCCATAGATTAATGCGTCTTTGGTCTTTAATTAATAGTCTTTTCATACATTCTGATGCTTCAGCCCGGGTATAATAGATGAAAATAAAAATTGTATACTCTACCGTGGCTTGTAAGGATGAACTTCCATGCAATTTTGGTATTAATAGTAATGACTTAGACTCATCTAATCCTGTCATTCTGCAGAGTTTTCAGGCTTCTCTGCCAGAGCTTTGATTTTGTCAAGTGTCCTAGAGTAAGTTATATTACGTTTTGAGATGCTACCTACTTTAGAAAGTCATTGGCCTATAGTTTTCTGAGAAAGTTTCCTAGAAAATCCTTCCTCCATTCTTTAGAGTCTTATCTGTAAAACCACCTTTCACAAAGATTTGTAGCTCAAGGAAGTGATCTGACTGGCAATGTCTCAAGGTAGACTCTTTTTTAAAAAAATATTTTTATTTTATAATTAATTTAATTTTACATATCAACCACAGACTCTTAAGAGAAAACTGCTGATAACTTAAGGTAGACGTGTAAGAGAAATGCTCTCTCCCACTCCAAGCAGCTAACAGTTGCCAATAGCTCCATGGCTCAGGCTTGGAGTTCTTGCCTAATTCCTATTGTCATGCTGGGATGTGGTCTCACTAGGGCTTGCACAGGTTTTGTGGACACTACTGTACCTGCTGTGCCTTCATGTGTGCCTCTGCCTTGGTGTAAGACGCTATTTCTTTGTAGTTATCCACTGTCATCTGACTTTTTACACTCTTTCTTCTTCCTCTTCCCCAGTGATCTTCCATGCAGAGCTGAGCATTCTTCAATTTCTGTCTCTGGATCTTGGCCATTGTGGGCCTCTGTGCTAATCACCATCTACTGGAGATAAATTCTTCTCAGATGATTGTTGAGAGATGCATTAATTTATGGAATAATAATAAATCGCTAGAAATTGATTTTATACTATATCCAACTAGAAGAAGAATAGTAGTAGGTTCTTACCTAGGGCCTATCACCTGTCAAGACACAGGTTTTCAGTTTAGTAATAGTGCAAATTATACATTTTGTCTTGTTCATTGAGACTTCAGTACATTCAGAAAGTGGCTGTTTTCTCCCCTAACATTTATCTCACTGTTAGCGCAGTAGGTACATCTTGCCATGCCAGTCATTATCATAGTTCTCGGGGATAACACATGGGTATGACTGATAACTACTGTTCTCCTCCAGTAGTGTGTATAGATCCTTCCACATTATGAAAGCTAACCAGTCAGGTTGAAGCATCCATGTGAGTACCAGCCTGATTTCTCCATGATTCATACTTCATTGGCAATAATCTGTGATGTTTGGGGGGTTCTTGAAGCCTCATTGTCCAACAATTCTAGAAGAAATAGCCCATTTTTCTGAAGCACAGTTCCCACAAAGTGATACAAATAGGGACCAGTTAATATCTGTTACTCATAGTAAATTGTAACATGGAAAACAAAAACAAAACAAAGCAAACAACAACAACAAAAAAAACAAATCAAAATCCCAAATTTAGAGGACTCAAATTTTGCATAATGGTCACTAGTTATACTTGTCCTTTGCTTCAGGGGAAGACATTATTACCCCATATAACACATTTCTTCTCTTAGGTTTTGAATAAATATTGTCTTTGTCATCTAAAAATCATAAGCTAACTTGTCTCTTCTCACAAGGCATAGATATAATCTCTATCATCTATGCCTATTTGCAGTACAAAGGAACATGTTAGCAAAGAGTTTAGAACAAAGAGCAGCGTGCTTCAGTATTTATATGCATCAGATTAAAACTTCTAGGGGAAAAATCACCTGATAACTATTGTTGTATTTGTATGCTGTAGGAAGAGACTAAACACTGGCATAATGGGAAGAAATTGCAATATATATTGCTAACTGAAGCTTTCCCTAAATATGGAGACATACAAATGTTGGAAGGAGGAGGATGCAAAAAAGTATACTATGTGAACCCTAACCAGAGCAAAAACTGGTGTAACTATAGTAATTTTAAATGCAATGACATTTCAAGCAAGATTTAATGGTATGAGTCAATAAGCGATGTATATCATAAAATTGTAAGTTGACATTACTCAATAACATTGTTTTAAAACATATAAAACAAAAATCACATAAAATAAATTAAAAGAGCTAGGCAGCGGTGGCGCACGCCTTTAATCCCAGCACTTGGGAGGTAGAACCAAGTGGATCTCTGTGAGTTCGGAGGCCAGCCTGGTCTACACAGCAAGATCCAGGACAGACACTAAAACTACTCAGAGAAATCCTGTCTCAAAAAACAAAAACAAAATAATAGTAATAATAATAATAACAACATAAATTAATTAATAAATTAAAAGACCCTCTAAGAACTTCTGTTTCTTCTCTACCTCATCTTTTCTTTTAGTTGCGAGTGTTCTTCACATCTGAGATTCTAAAGTAAAATGATTTTCTCACTAGAGTTCTTACTCTCCACTCTTCTGAAGTCCATCAAATTAATACTAATCCATGATATTTACTTGGAAATTTTTGCCCACACTGTATATATTTCACTTTCTAATAAATATATCTATAAATGCCTATATAAAATATCCAAATACTTACTTTTTCATAACATTTTTCTAAACACAAAGTAGTAATGCATTTAAATCTAGTAACAAGTTTATAATGGATGTGTCATTATTTATATACTTAATTCAACAACATCATAAGTTTCTAGAAATGATTTTAACTTTTATACATTATTATTTATTCACTATTTGTGTTTTTTTCCTATGTGTATACATGCATGATCTTGCAATAACACACATGTGGAAGTCACTAGACAACTTGGGGGAGTCGTTCTTACATAATACTATTTAAGTTCCAGGAAATGGTGGCATGCATCTTTTCTTATGGAGCCATCTTGCTGGCCACATAGTGATATTCTTCTCTTTAGCTTGATTTAATCTATTGGTAAGGCATTTGACTAATTTTGTTGGATGATATGGAGTGGGATGCAGCCCAGACTGACCTTGCACTTGAACTTGATCTGTAGCTGAGGCTTCAAGTCTTCCACCCACTTTCAGGTGTGCTCTGCCATACCCAGTTTAATTGGTTTTGGTTCAATTTATCAAGCTTTTCATTTCTAAGCTTTGTATTGTTTTTCAGGATCTTTCTTTATCGAGTTGTTTTCTCTTATTTTTAATTATCTTCATTAACTCATACTGTTCATCCACTATGTATTGCTACTTTTCATATTTTTTCATATTGAGGTTTCCACATGAGCTCACACATACAATTCTTTACTTTTGTATGGATGACATTCTTAATATGTTGAATTCTTCCTGTGTAACTTGGAATAATTGGTTTATTTCTCATGTGAAGTTGTGTTTATTTACTAAATAGTTTATGATACAATGTGTTTTTATGTTCATTTGTGATCACAGTTTTGCAACAGAGATTCCCCTGTCAAGATCATTGTAAATCATCATTTCTACAATTCTTGATAGAGTGGACAAACTGCCGTTTCAAGCAGACGTGTAGACAGCATAAATTTTGGTATACATTCTCAATGTTGACTCTTCCTGGAGTCATAACACTGGTAGGATTTATAGACTTCTAAAGAAACTGTTGATAGTAACTCTGTTATCTGAAAGTGATTCTTAGGTTAGTTGCTGCATTCATGTTGCATAGTCTATGGACTGACTGAAGATATTTCATGGTGAAGATTAGCAATTAGAATCATAGCTTATACTTTGTGACACTCCATCACCAGACTCAATCAGTCACACGAAAGTTTGCCCTGCTGCAGCCTTGGCTGCTGTAGGATTAGATGTAGATGTGATCTCTCCTACTATTATGTTTTGAACTCTATTGCTATGGTATGGATATTTGCCCTGGATCTAACTTCACTCTTCCTCCCCCACAACCTGTTCTGGCTAATAGGTGGAGTTGTATGCTTTCTCCATTTCATTAAGTAGAAGGTGCACTAGGGTTCAAGAAAGACTGGGTTATGACTGGAGCTAAGCTAATTTTTCAGAAAATGTAACTCAGGGTATAATGTACACCAGGTCCTCAAGTTGATGTCCAGTTATTGTGGGATGGAGAAGAGAGAAAGGGAGAAGAACTTTTTAAAATAATCTAATATATAAATAAAAAGAAATTGAAAGGTTGGAACTGTCACCCAGTGCTGGAACACTTGCCTACGATACATGAAAATCCCCATAATTTAAAAAATAAAAGAAGAAAAAAGAAAAATTAAAAATATCAAATAACAAGAAATAAAAATCCATATTAAAATGATAATAAATGGAGGAAAAACATCTTCTTGGCTAGATCTCTCTGGATCTCCTAGAGTTGAAATTCTCAAGGAATAGGGTGAGAATAGTAGGTTGTATTTTCAGATTATTCTCATTCTTCTCAATTTTCACCAAACTAGTTGGAGCAGAAGCAGGCTTTGCCCAACATTTGACAAAGTCAGGGCATGTTGCATGTACTAGTGGTGTGTACCCTCAGGAGTCTGCAATACACTGCACAGGGATATTGATGGTAGAGCAGTGAGACTGTCTTACCATAGGAGCTTAGGAGGGATATGCCACTTTAAGAATATCTTCACTTAAGATGTTTTATTCTGTACAATGAAAATATAGACAGTATTGGGGTTATAGCAAGATCTCCTCATTAAACACTAAATTAGGGCAGATATGAGTTATGCTGAATAGATACCTTTGCTTTTCAAGGCTTTTAGTTTTTGCAAGCTGGAGCACAAGAAGCATAGAAGACATAGGACATGCTTGGAATGCCTCTCACTTTGTGTGTGTGTGTGTGTGTGTGTGTGTGTGTGTGTGTGTGTGTGTGTGTGTGTGTGCATAAATTTGTCAGTATCTTGTGTCAGAGAAACTCACCCAGGTATAACTGTGTTGACTTTACCTGTGGCTGCTGCTTGCCCAGCTATGCACTGAGGTGTCCATGAGAAGTCTGAGCTGTGACTACATCTCCGTGTAGTTGAGTCCCTGACAACAGCCTTTCTAGCACTAAGATTTCACTGAGCTTCTTGCTAATTTCTTTTGTGAAGCAAGTTTGTCTTCAGATGCCAGGCCAGGGATTTACTTAGGCTTCTTGTCTGCAGGATTCAGTCTTCTGTGCCAACGCACCATCACTTTATTACCTAGGCACAAAGGGTCCACTTCTCAACTAAATTTTGTATTCCAGGAGCCTGGGTATTGCTTTATCATTTTCCTTAGCCTATGGAATGCGCCATGCTTTATTTACTGTGCAGACAACTTCCAGTGTTCACCTGCCCTTCCTTCCACGACAGGTTCCAAGTCCATTGTTTTGTTTTCATCCCATGAAAGAGAGGACTAGTGCTGAGTGTCCCTCTTCCATCCCCTCAGACCTGAACTTTTTATTTTCTCTATTATGTGTTTTCTATCCTCTCTTCTTGTTTGTTTTACTTTTTCAAAAGTTACCTTTATTTCTTGCTTCTTGTTTTTGTTTTTTTTTTTACTCTCACTCATTACTCTTTGCTTTTTGGGGGCCCACAACCCACCTCCCAAAGAAATCACACAGAGGCTCATTCTTACTTATGAATGCCTGGCCTTAGCTTGGCTTGTTTCCAGACAGCTTTTTTTGGGGTGTGTGTGTGAATGAATATTTATTAAATTTTTAAAACTGTTCTTAACAATATCAATAGGATCCTGAACACAAGATAGTTTTATAGCAAATATTTGCCATGAAAATAATAAGAATGATTAAGCATATATATATATATATATATATATATATATATATATATATATATATATATATACACTTTATGCCAAATACAGACACACACACGTATATATTCCCACCTCCTCCAGGGCAAAGACTCCCCTGAGGATTGAGTTCAACCTGATAGATTCAGTTCAGGGAGGTCCAGTCCCCTCCTCCCAGGCTGAGCCATGTGTCCCTGTATAAGCCCCAGGTTTCAAACAGCCAGCTCATGCACTGAAGACAGGTCCCGGTCCCACTGCCTGGATGCCTCCCAAACAGATCAAGCTAATCAACTGTCTCACTTATCCAGAGGGCCTGATCCAGTTGGGGGCTCCTCAGCTATTGGTTCATAGTTCATGTGTTTCCATTCGTTTGGCTATTTGTCCCTGTGCTTTATCCAACCTTGGTCTCAACAATTCTTGCTCATATAAACCCTCCTCTTTCTCGCCAATTGGACTCCTGGAGCTGGCTGTGGATCTCTGCATCCGGTTCCTGGGGCTGGCTGTGGATCTCTGCATCCGGTTCCCTCAGTCATTGGATGGGGTTTCTAGCACGACAATTAGGGTGTTTGGCCGTCCTATCACCAGAGTAGGTCAGATCGGGCTGTCTCTCAACCATTGCCAGCAGTCTATTGTGGAGGTATCTTTGTGGATTTCTGTGGGCCTCTCTAGCACTTTGCTTCTTCCTATTCTCATATGGTCTTCATTTATCATGGTCTCTTATTCCTTGTTCTCCCTCTCTGTTCGTGGTCCAGCTGGGATCTCCTGCTCCCCTAAGCTCTCTTTCCCTCGAACCTTGCCCTTCATTACCCCCACTCACATCCAGGTTGTTCATGTAGATCTCATCCATTTCTCTGTTATTGGGCGATCCTTGTGTGTTTCTTGGGGTCCTTTTTTCTAGGTAGCCTCCCTGGTGTTGTGAGTAGCAGTCTAGTCATCTTTGTTTTACATCTAGTATCCTCCTATGAGTGAGTACATACCATGTTTCCAACAGCTTTTCTTAACTTAAATTATCCCATCTCTCTCTTGCCTCTGGGCTTTTATCTTTCTCTATTTCTGAATACATTTCCTTACTTCCTACACCATGGCTGGCTGTGTAGCTGGATGCCTGGCCCCTTGCATCCTCGTCTCTTCCTTTTCTTGTTTCTTCATCTCCCATAACCCCAGATTTCTCCTATTCATTCTCTCTGCCTGGCAGGCCCACCTGTCCTTTCTCCTGCCTTGCTATTGGCCATTCAGCTCTTTATTAAACCAATCAGGTGTTTTAGACAGGCACAGTCACAGCTTCACAGAGTTAAACAAATGCAACATAAAGAATGCAAAACATCTTTACATCATTAAACAAATGTTGCACAGCATAAACAGATGTAACAATCTTAAATTAATATTCCACATCTTTTCTTTCATTTTTTCCATTTTTATGGCACATTTCATTTGAATGTATTTATTATGGAATGATTTAATCTTGTGTTTGTGTTGTATTATTTTTTTTTCTCTACCCACTTCTTCACATTGTGGGCTACATTTGGATCTGATTGGATTACAACATTGTGTGAGTTTACTTTGCTATTCTGAGTGCTTTCTATTTTTTTTATTCCTCCTTTTCTTCTTAGTTTTCTAGCTCATATTCTTCCTGTAATTTTCTCTTTCTAAGTATTTGTGCTAAAGTAGAAAAACTATAGCTTATTCTGAGTATTCTGGAGTTTTCCATTATAAGACTGTTCATGTTGACCTTCTTTTTTTTTTTTTTTTTTTTTTTTTTTTGGTTTTCGGGACAGGGTTTCTCTGTGTAGTGTTGCGCCTTTCCTGGAACTCACTCTGTAGTCCAGGCTGGCCTCGAACTCACAGAGATCCGCCTGCTTCTGCCTCCCGAGTGCTGGGATTAAAGGTGTGTGCTACCACCGCCCGGCCTCATGTTGACTTTCTATGAGAGATCTCATTGAGTCGGTTGGTCTGTTTCTTGATCAAAGAATGGTTTAGACAGCCTATTATTCCAATTAAGTCACTTGCAATAAGCCATACATTCAATTACTTAAGTAATAATATTTGTCAATAAGACAGCTCATAACTTCTATGTGGTATGGACTAAGTTCCTGGCTTGAACTAGGTATCTAGTGTATAGGAGCAACACATCACCATCCCTACCAGAATCCAGTAGACCTACAATGGCTCCATCCCCATGCACAAAATTTATATATTATGAAGTCTAGATTTATTCAGTTACCACATTGTCTAGGTTTTTGGCTTTGCTTCATTGTAAAATCTGTATTGATTAGAGGGATTGTCATCTATGTATAATTTTTCTGTACTCCTAACAGGTTGCTTTTTAACAGTTTTTTCTTTTCCTTTTCTCAGGAATTATTATCCTTCCAGGAAGTGCAGTTGGCCATTTTGTGGGAGGTTTAATTGTTGACAGACTGGAGATGTCTTGTAAGAACAAAATAAGATTCATAGTTGTGACATCTACTGTAGCACTCGTGCTTTTTATGTTGATCCTTTTTGTAGAGTGCGAAACAGTGGAATTTGCTGGAATCAATGAAGATTATGATGGGTAAATATAAGTTTGTATACTAGATTTTAAAATTATAACCAAGGAAATATTTTCCAGAAAAATAATCCAGTAACCATATATATTTATATAAGTCTTGGAATTATTAAACATGTAAATGAAGTATAAAAGACAGTTTTACTCTTCATATTAATGGTACCTATCTCAGAGAGAGATGTTTATCATGTATTCATGATAGAATCAAAACTGGAATTTTGTGTTAGGGTATGTAGCAAGTACAAGATGGTGTTAGAATATGTAAAAGTGATTTGATCTCATGTTCTTGAACTGATCTGTCTGCATTGTTGTGAACATCAAGGATGGGTTTAATCTATTATGAGCATATACACGGACATTTTAATTTATATGTAAAAATTCAAAAAGCTTGGCATGGGTTAATATTAAATATTATACAACATAAATGCAACTGATAACTAAAGAATTAAGCAAATGAAATTCTGAAAGAGAACAATAGCACTTTTAACTACAATTGGTTTGCTTACAGTAAACCACTATCCAATACATGCTACTGGAGTTATCCACAAGGTTATAACATGACTTCAACTTCACGTCTTTTACAAATTCATCCAAAGAACTTAGAGGAAGGTCTTGAATTAATAGACATAGCAATAAAAATGTATCTGTAACTGAAAAATAAGATAATTTTAGAATCTTACAAAAATTAAAAGTCTTTTCTGTGCAAAAACTTTTGTTAATCTGGTGGAACAATTATACTGTGCAGTGGAGAAATATCTGAAAAACGAAAATTCAAGTCTACAGTTGGAGATTAATGACATGTCAACTGAAAAATCTCCAGGCACAAAAATACTTATTTAACTGCTTCCTCACTCCAGCTAAAAGAAAAATGGAAAAAACCTCATATTTTAAAGAATTTGTTTGCAAATAAACAAGTAAGGTTCCTAAATAAAATTCTCAACTATCCAAGGTGAACAAAAGCATTTATAAATAAAATAAAATGTTATTTAACACTTAAGCAAAAGTACTGTTGACCCTCATATGCATGAATACTAAATGTTATGAACATGCCACTTCTCTACAACTTTATTTGAAATTATTTATAATTCAAACAATAACTTTTCAAAATACATTTGTATTAAAATAAAATCTATCATTTTTCTCCTAATAAAGATGCCCATATACCTCAAAGAGCCTATGTACATATGCAGAGCACAAAACCAATGGTCATAAGTGAAGAATACACTCCCTTAAAAACCAAAACAATGAAACGGAGTTGGAGAATTCAACTACAAGAGATAAAAATTTATTGTGAAGCCAAAACAAGTATAGTGGTATTGTCTTTCCTAAAAAATCTTTCTAAGATTCAAAGTAGATAGCTCAGTGGTACATTATGAATACTTAGAAACTTAATGTATGCAAAGCAGATATTCCAACCTGAGAAGGATGCTGCATATTTTAAAAGTATATTCCTGGGAAATTTACTTTTCCAACTGGAAATAGAATTTAAGATACCACTTCCAGTTTTACCTAATTCTCCAGTATGTAAGAGATCTACATATGTACAATAAATCTTGTAGTGCTGGGAAAAAATAGGAATTATATTTTTGCCTCACAGTAAGGTAGAATATACTAAATAAGATAAAATTTTAAATATGATTATAATACTCATATATGATCACTATTCCTTGCTCAGAGTGGTCTCAAGTTCTAGTTAGCTTGGCCGAAAAGAAAGCAAATGTGTCCTGAGCAACACTGAATTTAATTGTTTAGTTACTTCCCTTCAAGAAAGCTTTACAAACTTAGAAAGGACTAGTATAACACTTCATGGTATCAAGTAAGCAAATTCTGTCAGTCTTGTTGCTCTCAACTTCACATGGCTGGCCATGACAATTAAATCTATTCTGTCTAAACCCCAGTTTTTATCAGACAAGAAATGAGGTATTAAGAACAATTTCAGAAAGGGAACACACTAATATAATCTGCTGGCCTGACATACCATCTACACAATATGTTTGGTTAAGTACGTGGTTTTTATTCTGACTAGTCATGCATGTGCTAAATAAAAGTAAGGTAACTGGTACAAAAGGACAGGATACAATTTGGCATAAATTTGTCACAGATATTGATACGTCATTCTGCAAAATTCTTATTTCAAAATTAAATCTTTAACTGATGTGTAAAGACACTAAAATTGTTTATATTAATAGGGTAACATGTAAGGTTAAATAAGGACATCAGAAATATATATTTTCACAATGCAGCTACATAGACAATCCAACTACATAAAACAAGTATCACTAAATGTACAAGTAGTGCTAAAATCTGATAACATAATTGTGGAGATTTAAACGCCCTATATTTCTCAAGCACAAATAACCCAGACAGAAAAACCAGAGAAACATTAGTTTTAAACCATATTGTATAATAAGTAGACCTCACAGACTTTAACAAATGTTGTACCTAACAACTATTGACATATATTTCTTATCAGAAAGGGGAATATTATTTAGAATAGACTATACCTTAGGTAACAAAACCTGTCTCAACATATCTTAAAAAATACAAAATAATTATATTTGTTCATTTTGACCACAAAAATCATATAAAATTAGAAACTAGTAAGATAGACTGAAAACAATGCCATATCAAAAGTCAGTGACATGAACACCAACAGTCAATGGATCAGCACGTAATTTAAAAAATAAAAAGTTGAAACATATGCTAAATATTAAAACATGACATAAAAGCAATAAAGCACAAGTTTATAGCAATGAATAATTACATCATAAACATAGAAAGACTTCAAACTGGCCGTCTAACAATGAAAGGAAAGAATATTTAACAGGAACAAGCTAGAAGTGAAAAAAAAGATGTCCCAGAAGTAATGAAAGTAAAACTAAACATACATAATGCAACACTTCTTTAAAAATATTTTTTTAATTTTTAATTCATGTTTATCTGTGTCTAGCACACATGTGTAGGTGCCTGTAGGAGCCAGGAGAGGGAGTCAGAATCACCTGAGCTGGAATTACAGGCATTTGTGAACTGATGACCTGGGTTCTGGGAACTGAACTTGGGTTCTCTAGAAGGAAGAGCAACAAGTGCTCTTAACTGCTGAACTGTTTCTCCAGACCCCAAATGATTAGTTTAACACAACATTTTTTCTTTGAAAAAATAACTGCCCACCCTTCAACTAAACTAGGAAAACAGAGAAATCCAAGTAAGTAGAATTAGAGATCAAAGATAGCCAGTAGAGCAGACACCATAAAGTCACAAAGAGCTAGGAGGAAAGAACTAAATGCAGTCACGTTAGATCAATATGCAATATGTGAAAAACTGATGTGATAATTATGAAAAAGGCAACCTCTTTAGCTGTAGTTATAAAAAGCAAATAAAATAAAATCCCCAAGAGTAAATTTTACCAAGGCAGTAAATCACTACAATGAAAATTACAACTACATAATAAGTTCCAGGCCAGCCTAGATTAAATTTTAGATTTAAATTTAAGAAAAATAAAATTAAAAAAAATTAAAACTCTAATAAATATATTAAAGGACACTGTACAATAGTGGCTCCTGGAGGCTAAGTTAGTTTTGGGAATGAGAAGTGGATGAAAAAGTGACGGTAAATATGTTCAAGGAGGCATTTGTATATGAGGAATGACTTCTAATGTTGTATAGCATAATAAGATAATTGCGGTTAATAATTTTTTTACACATTTTTAAAGTAGCTGGCAAAAAGAACTTTGAGTATTCCCACATACAAAGAAATGATAAATTCTTAAGTTGGTAAATATACCAATTACTTTAATCTTATTGTTGCATATTATATTAATGAATTTATAAGATTATACAAATTATGATCAACCAAGAATCATCAAGAAAACAGGATTAACAGACAAAAATCAATAGATATATCATACTAAACAAAGTGAATCTGAAATAAAAAAAACTTACAGGTAGCCAAAAAAATTACCTTATAAAATTCAACGTCTGTTACTTTCTGAGGCAATAAAAATGTTCTGCACCAAATTGGAAACTGATGGAGAAGGATTATCATGAGTCAAAGGTCAGCCTTGGCTATCTGGTGAGTTTCAGTCAGGTTGGGCTATAGGAGAAGGCTCTGTCTCCTGTAACAAAAAGAAGAGATGGAGAATAATTAAGGAAAAGAATAAAGAAAGGAAGAAAGAATGAAAGGAAGAACGAATAAAAGAAAGAGAAAGTAAGGAAAGAAGGATGAACTGATGGAGAAGGGAAGATTAGAAAAGGCTCTAGTAATTGACTCCTTTGGTGATTTCACATATGCACAAATATACTAAAAACATAGGATGATACCCTTAAAATTGTGGGCTGTATATCAATCAATAAAACTCATTTTTAAGACATGCAATATATACTTTTAAATAAATTAAGAAAACTGGAATTTAAAGATTAGTACTCCAGTTCTTCAGGGGATTCTGAGTTCCCACAGTTACCTTTCTACTTATAAATTATGATATGAATGTTTTTTAATCTGACCCATTATTCACATCTTGATGTCTTCAACCTCTGTGTTATAATATTATTTGGAACCTTGGGGATGATAGTCTTAGTTTAGAACATGAAGATGAAGACTTCATGGTTCACATTTCTTTTCTCACAAGTAGAAGTATCCAGTGCCCCTACTCCTTAATCCATGTGAGGACATATTGGGAAAAGTGGTTCTCTGTGATATAGTAAGAGGGTAATCACTAAACATGGAATCTGTTCTTCTGGCATTATTCTGGCTAGTGTTTTGTCAATTTGATATATAAGCCAGCATCATCGAAGAGGAGGGAGCCTCAATGAAGAAAATGCTTCTATAAGATTGGCTTGTAGGAAGCCTGAGGAGTATTTTTTAAATTATTATTAATGATTGAAAAAGGAGGGCCCAAGATATTTTAGATCATATTACTCATGGGAAGTGGTCCTGGAGTGTATAAGAAAACAAACCCAGCAAGTCAGGAAGCAGCACTCCTCCATGGCCTCTGCCTTTAGGTTTCTACC